TCCTCGATTTCTAATCTTTAAATATTCGTGGTACCCGAAAGGGATATTGTGCTTTTACAACCAAAAAATGATGTCACGTACCTCTTGGATATCTGTATTTACCTCCGCAAATACCATGTAGATTTATCTGTGTTAAACTTTGACTAAGACGATTTTTTAATTACCATTAGTGATATCACTTGTGGTACCTTCAATGTGAAAAAAATTTCCATTTAGTCAAAGCTCAGTGTTCCCTGCTATTTGTGCAACCCCCACCACCCGGTGAATAAAACCTGCGCATCGCGGAAATCAAGCTGCATTTTGACGACTTCGCTCAATGGCGTTTTCTCTTTTACTAAACCTTTCCCACGTGCCACTGTTTCTCATAAACTAATTTGGAATCGGCAGATTTTAGGGCCTACAAGTAAACATTAGAGTGTCTTCTACCAAACTAGTGATAGAAATCATTCAGGTAATTCTATACTAAGGCGTCTTAGACTCTCAAATTCTGACTTGTATAGGTTTATGAACTTGGCAAAAAAGCGTCTCTTGTATACAAAAAATTGTCAAATTTGAAATTAAAAATGGAAGCTGTAGAAATATCACAACCTTCTTAATTGCACCATATTTACAGTATCGGATAAATATGGTGCAATACCACATGTCAGCCTTTCAAGTAAAACTAACCTGGAAGTGATCGGAATTTACTTGGGGAAGAATCCACTTCAGATGTTTTGCGTATAGTAGGGTTTTCTCGAAGGCCCTATGTAGTAAGTGGTCTGCTTAAATTTACTCATTTCGCCATTTGCTGGCTCGATAAATGGCCTTCAGTCAACCCTGGCTGTGCCTTATGCTGTCATGCTGCCCGTTTTACGTGTAGTAAAAAAATGGTACCCCAAGTGATCGCTATTGGTAAAATGAGTACTGGTAAACTCCTGAAATCGGCCACAAGTATTGGCTTGAATGGGCTACTTGAGTCTCCGTGGTCATCGTGAAGCTGCAGCAAGGCCTGTTCCTGTCTTTTGTGGGGGGGGGAGGGAGGGGCGATGCTGCTCGGATTTCGGTGATATGCCGATGCCTACTGCTTCTGACTGAATGCTTTTAGTGTCATTTCGTTGGTGACATTTGGAATCCTAAAACTAAAACGTATTTGCTATTGTCCGAATGTAATTTTACAATTAGCATTGACGGAAATATTTCGCTTAATGCATTGGAGAAAATATTGGTTTTGCAAAGTTTTAGCAATGTTTCCCCCATTATAAGATGTATTTGTTCCACATTCAGCATACACATGAGTTTTCTTGTCCGTGATAACGTATTCCTGATGTAGAGATGAGTTTTTCTTCTTCTAGGATAACAACCTTAGGGAGTGCATTTCCACGCTATTGGTATCGCCCAAATTCATAAGTCTTTCTCTCCTTATCTACACTTCTTTCTCCCGCTCTCTGTTACTGGCGGCACCAGACATTTTTTAAATGATTCTTTCATTTGCGTGTGACTGAGCGTGTGTTTACCTTAATTTTCATCTCACAGATTAATTGAAACTTTTTTAAACTCCTCATTTTCCGTACAGATCCGGTGTATCAGATCGCTGTCGACCTTGTGGGCCAAAACGCAAACAGGGTCTGGCAGAACGAGGTGCAGTCAAGCATCATGGACCAGGCCGCCGAGTTACACATGGCCGACGCCTACGAGGAGCTCTACTCGGCGCGATACGCCAACAGAGTGGACTGATGGAGGCGCCCCACAACTCCAAACTGCACTCTTCTGCTCGTTTTCGCACAGCCACCAATCACGATTTTAGAAGTCCTCTACTGCGTTGTACAGTCATTCGTGTTTTTGGTTGAAATGCATGTTTAAACGAGGCTCATACCCGATGACGCACTTTTGTTTCAGTAAAGCGCATTTTCATCAATATGTTCTCGTATTTTTAAGTCATAAACGAATTTTTTGGGACTGCTGCACGTGGCATTCTTGATAATCAAGGCCAGATGTATTGCACTTCTCTTATTTTGCGTGGTGTCAACAGATATTGGGTAATGCATATAATTTATCAAATATTAATCTATGTTGTTCGGAGGGTACTCGCCTTGAGAGGTATTTGATAATGTACTCGTCTTTTTTCGACCATTCATTTTCGATCCGCCTAGCTACACAGCTTACCCCTTCAGAATGTTGTTCCTATTGCAACAATATTAATAAGTTAATGCAGGAAAGAAATGAACCCAAACAAGGTGCTTCATTAATTTATGGTTGTAAAGTCAACGACTTCGGGCTCTGGTCGACACGGCGGAGTGGAGTAAGAAAAGAGGACGGATTTGTCTGGGGCTCTTAGGTGTTCCAGGTTCAACAAATCTGCAACAAAATGGGTTAAAATCGTTTAATGGTCTGCGTAGGCACTCAACAGAAGACACACGAAAAAGCCGGTGTTTGGCTTGAATTCGACCGCTTAAAGAATTTACCTATTGTGAAAGCAGAAGTCTGCTATGCTGTTGAGAAGTATTCGCTACTTGGACGGGGTCGTACTAAGGGACTCAGTAAAGCTATTTGTCACTGGAAATATCACAAGAAGACACGTGAGCAAGCGTGTACATCTAAGCATTATGACAGTTTGGATATGCATGGACATCGGGTGTTGTGAGCCTCACAATGGCGGCCATGTCGACGTTTTAGAATCGGGTTCTGCCTGTTTGATACGTCAGTGACGGCTCGGTTCTGCATTGGTCTGCGAACTGGTGTAAGGTCGTTTCGTTGTTTAGGGCGTGTCGGACGTGGCCATGAAACTGACCTCATAGCAGGTCGCTGTGGCTACTGGCGGAACGGAACGTGGGATGGCTTTGTGTGCACATTCACGCCAGGAGTATCAAACAGGTTAAATTCTCAATTCCTTGACACTTTCACAAGACCACTAAATCACCTCTTAAAGCCCTTTTAGAAACACCCTCTGTTGCAATTTATTTAGACGAAAATGTTGACGTTTAGCTGACTACGTGATTGCAGAAAAAGCAAGCATGCAACAACAATGTTATAAACATGAATTGGTTCGTAGTTATCAACCAATTAATTATTGTTAGTTATTGGTGTAGCTGTCTTCCTCGACTCATCTGACTAATTCCTCATTCTAGGATAAGATATTCCATTTCGTAGTTTTAGTTATTTTACTTTTTTCTAAGAGAAAAATGTGTTTACCAAACTGCTGTGAATCATCGACCATTTGCAATCTCGATAGAGGACGTCCTCAGTCAGGAGCTTGATTTCTTACACGATTGCACGTCGTTCTGTGGTAGCTCGTTCAAATCATGAGTGCAGGTCTCTAGGACAAGCGAGGTTTTCTCAAGTAAACAATAGGATGTGTGTACTTCTAAACACGCTAAAGTGCAAGCTTGAAGGTGGTCATTAAATTAATTTTCAGATTTATACACATAATAAATCTTGACATTAGGGGAACGTCTTTAAAGCGACCGTTTCCTAGTTCATTCGGATATATTCATGCACTTAATTAGTATATGATTTTGGATATTACGTCAAATTATCGTTTTAGATGGCAATATTTTTGCCATTAGTAAAAAGAGTTTTCTTACCTCTATTAGTTAAAATTTGAATTTCTAATGACAGCTAATATGTCTTTAGCTTGTGTCGTTACACGAAACTAGATAATGATACCAGTTATTTAAAGGTAGCAAGCAAATGTCATTGCTTTCTTCATGAGGGCTTGCTTCTGGCTCAGTCGTGCGCGGCTTAGCTTTGCTCATACTCATTTCACCCTGGTAAACATGTTGCTTGATGAAGTATTATCAGCCTCCTCAGTCAATAATTAATGATGCCAACTCCAACTTAATTCCATGTCACTAAATTATTTTGATCCGTTTGACCACTTTATTCATTCAAATAATGTTAATGCGTCTGACACAATTACCCTGGCGATTAAAGTTCAGAAGCCGACAGCGAAATTGTTTTGCAATATTTATTTTTTTTGAAATATCCAGAAGTATTCTAAGTCTGCTGCTTTTGATGATCTGCTTTGAATAACAATTTGGCCGTAAATCAATTGAAATATAATGTTTACAAGGAATAATTTGCCGTGGAAAAAAAATAATACAGTTTTTATAATGAAGGGAAACTGAATTTTAGCGATGTATTTCATACGACATTATCTTTCCTTGTTTAACAAATGGATATTTACAAGTTGTTAAATGTTGGTCAGTCTCACTGGACAGGCAATGCTATTTAATGTGAAACAACGTAAGTCATAGATGTGCTTTATAGAGATATAGGTGAAAGTTATCTCCCGTGGTGATAATCCAGGATAATTGCTAGCGCTTACGAGGCGTTTGAGGTTCAGTGCGGCATACGAAATGCTATGAAAATTGGGTCATTGTGTAAGATAATGGAAAGACCGAATTAATGGGTGTGAATCAACGCGACATTTTCCGATAGGTATATATTCAGCTTACATTATGATAACATAATAATAGCACTGTTGTGAATCGCGTTGATTCAAGCTCGCTAATCCGATCACTCCAGCCACCGACACAGGGTCCTCCTTTTCGCAGCATGTCGCAATCCGTGCGGATCATCATTCGCACGGACATTTATCCTGATGAGCTTCGAATATACTATAGACGATCAAAGAAATGAAATAACTTGTGCAAAATGTCGTTGCATTCGATTTAAATAACGCTCTAGAGAGGCCATGGGAAAAGATTCCTTAGCATTTTTACACATAACCTTTTCGAATGGATGCCAACATGTATTACTAATAATGGTAACTACGGCAGCCGTACGAAGCGATTGCTGAACATTTTATGGCAAAGAAAATTCGGGAGGGTTTGCTTGATCGAATTCACTGTCTGCTGACGAAATGACGCATTTATTGGCGCACGGTCGACTAGAGGTCACATGCACACTCTCGCGTTTTAAAAATAGGCAGCTGCTCAGGTGCCCATTGGGAGTAGTCATCTTAACTGTCACGGGTCATTGTTTATCGAAAAGCTTGTGGAAAAAAATACAAAGCACAAAAGCGAGGTAAGTTTGGTAATGCCACCAAACTTTCTAAGAAGTAAACCATGAAAAGGGCATGGAATGGGGGTGTGAGCATTGTCGGTCTGATGGATAACTGTACATCCTGAATGTTGAATTGATTGATTGTGCAGCTTTCATTTTATCACCTTTAGCAGTCAATTCTATTTCTTTAACTCGCTCTGCGTTTGTCGTTTTTACGTTTATAACAAATGTGTATTAATCGAGACAGAAACAGTAAACATTTAGGTGAGAACGGTGTTGAGTACGATATGCCAACACCATGAACTATATCCAGTTTGATTTGCGGAGTATTGGCGAATTGTTCCCAGTACGAGTGTTTAATGACACTGATGAAGAAATAAGTTACTAGTCTTAATGACTAGATGAACTAAACAACGTAAATACTTGGTGAAAGCACAGATGAAGAAAGTTTAAGACAAAGTTAGGAGTTAAAAATGCAGCTTTTAAAAGCAGTCCAGGCTAATGTAACTTGTTGCACAGTAATAACATCCCTAACACCAAATCATAACAACTGGAAAGAATATACCATTGCTTAACATTAGGACATCCAACGGAGGTCTTAAAAATATGATTATTATTCTACGTGATATTTTCGCATCGTATTTCGGAGTAGGACTAACATCACTTGCACGCAGCTCATAATTTCCATAAATTTGCGGACAGAAAGAGATGCAAATTATAAAGCAATGAATGAGGCACGGAGCAGCTGAAGATCCTGGACGTAAGAATCGTTCAAAAGCCACAGCTCTTCCAAATACGCCTTCCTGGCTGAACATCCTTTTTCAAATATTTGTATCACTTCAATCCCTGGTGCAATCGAATTTACAGCTGAGACAAAAGTCGGTGTTGCAAATGTACTTTTAATGCGCCCAGTTATTTTTGCCAGGAGTGACTCTGACATTTGAAAAAAACGGAATAAATGAAATAGAGATCAAGAAAGGGGGCTTGTACGCGAGAATGAATAAACTATGTAAATAATCAGATAAATGAGCAGATAAAACCAAAACACTTGGTTTCCAAAAAGAATTCATTGGCGCATTTACGTCGCGTCAATCACAAACGGTCATGTTGTGAGTCGTGTTTATTCACACCCCTTAATCCGATCCCCCCACCTCCGACGCAGAGTCCCCCTTTTCGCAGCATGTCGCCATCCGTGCGGAGCCCAAACTACCCCCTCATTCGCACGAACATTTATGCTGAATTTTCCTCACACCCAGGTCTGGAAGTTCACACATCTAAGGTGTAAATACGCAGGCACGAACGCCACACACGACACAACGTCACCAGCGTGGTTGAGCCCTGAAGTAAAGTTAAATGAGAAAAATTTAAAACTTAGAAGTTGGATCTTGTATGTGTTGGCAGAATACAACTTAGGTAAATGTGCGAACATACGACTTTCACTGCTTTCCAGGTGGCAAAAAAGGACTTCTTGTGGGAACTTGTGACGTGTGATGAAAAGCATATTTTTGTTAAGAGAATTCCAACCGTAAAATTAGTGGGTAGATCCCGGGCATCCCGTTACATGAACATCGAAAAAAAATATTTAATGAATGTTCTCGTGTGTACTTTATTATTAACTCCTGGCAACCGGTCAGATGGTGGCTGCGCAACGCTAGAGGCAACAATTGAACAAATTGAGCAAAGACATCGATCAAAAATGTCATTTTTTGCAAGGAAGCAGGCGAGTCATACTGCTTCATGACAACGCTCAACCCCATGCTGCTCGCGTTACGCATAAGATCCTCTTGCACTTGGGATGGGAAGTTCTCCTTCCCATGGCGTATTCACCAGACTTGGACCCATCCGACTACCACTCGTTCCGGTCAATGCTGCAGGACGCCTTAGTGGTTAGGCGGTTCAAAATGCTGGACGATGTGCTTAAATTTGTCAATGAAGTTATTGCCTTGAAGCTTGCAAGTTCCTTTCTCGATGGAATTCGTTAGTTACCTGAGAGAAAGCGCAAGGTCATGGGAGACGATGGCCAATAATTCCAAGATTACGTTCTTAGTTCTCTATTTTCCACATTGAATTAATTTAAAGAAAAATCTGTAAAAATAAAGTCACGTGCCTAATAATTTTACTATAAACTCTCCGTAAATTTCCGGAACAAATTTAATCAACAGGTGCTGCTACATATTGATATTGGCCCCTCAAAACATTTCACCCAGCTCGCGAACTACTAGAATTGTCACCGTGTACAGCGCAACCAACTTGTACCTCTGATTCCAGCAAAGTTCTTATTGAAGCATGTAGAAAAGAATGCTGATAACCTGTCAGGTTGCGTTTCATAATTGTATCCTCCCTAGTTTGCATAAAAATGATAAATCATGACACAAAATATTCATCCTGTCAGTTCTGATGTATAATTGTTGCTTTCAAGGTGAAATGAGAAAATTTAGCTTGGACTTACCACCTCAAATTTCGGTATCCTTAATTTAAGGAAATTTTTGGACGAGAGAAACTTATCATGATCACAAGATCTCAAGTTAGGTGTGATTCGGGGGCTAGTCGTTGTGACCAGATTATCAAGCGAACGCCAACGTATATGAAACCGATTTCAATGATTTCAGATTGGGAAATATTCGGATTGATAAATCAATTACGATTTAGTTAACACTTCCAGTTACAAAATAGGAATTGTTGTGTCATGTGCTGAAAAAAAGTGTGTATGAACCACTTTTCATTAGTTCTCGGAGGTCCCACTAACCCGTGGCATAATACTTTGATACAGCAGGAAGGTAAAAATGTCTGTCATCCTAAACTTTTCGATGACGCACGAAATCCTATCACAAGCCACCAGTTTATGTGCGTGCTCCTGACAGTTCTTGATCTCTTAGTTGCAAACTCAAGCAGTTTTGGAGCTAACAGTTACTCTTCGTCGATAAAGAAGACCGGTCGTATTCAAGGATATTTAATCCATGTTGAGGACAACTAGACGAGAAAATAAATTTTGATTACAAAAGGAAATTTTGATTATTTGCCGTTAGAAATCCGACTACATTTAATTGTCACACTTTATTGATCCACATAAGACGCCCTTTTCTAAATTAACTTTGCTATCTATGTGTGCATTGGTTTCTATATTTGTTCATATGGTAGGTTGCCACAATGTTTCTCATTAAATGGTCATTCTCCTTGCACATGCCAAAACGTGGTAGGCACGTGGTTCCGCGCTCTCGTGCAAACCATCCCGTTCAATTGAGTCACGCACTACTTACCCGCTTAAAATCGGTGTAGGTGGCTTTTAACGAAGCTTCTTACTGACTTCCCATTATAAGTGTTCAGTTTTAAATTTAACGTAATCAAAGCCAAATAGCGATGACGTGGAACTGCAATGATGTTATTGAGGACCAGGACGTACTTGAGAGTTGACACGCAGGAAAATATCAGCTCCTTATCGGCATTGAAGTACTTTCTTCTGAGCTTCAATGTGAGTGACTACTTGTCCTAGTGTCCTGGTGAAGATACTTCTGTTATTTTAAGGCGCAAGCAAAGTCTCAAGCACTGTTATCCAAGGAAATCACCTACTGATCTACTGTGCACTTACATCTCCAAATTGAAGCTGCTATCCACTCAGTGGTCAAATGATGTCCAGTTTAGTCGTAATTTCTCAAAGCTCAAGCACATGAGTTACATTTCTTGATGGGAAATTTGTCTGAGTGCCATTGTTACATACCTGTAAATTTATTTAAGGAACAGCTCAAACATTCTCAGCCATTTCCGTCAGGGATGCCTGAAGATACATTAATTGAGGTTATTTATGACATTGGTAAACGGGAGGGGTATTTTTAGTGATTTTTGGAAAGCAGCAGATCGATACAGGCATCGCCTGCATGATGGTCAAAGCAAGCTACTCTCAAGGATTAAAACCCATGTTTTCCGCTGTCCACAGGACAAAATCCAGTTGTCCATTCGCTTTTATTCAGTTATGACAATAAGGCAGGGTTCCTTGAACATCTTTGCTTAGGCAAACCACGTTTGTCCTGCATTCGGTACTATGCCGGTTTAATTGCTAGTAGACATTCGAAATACCCAGGTTTGAATTCAAAAAAATATAAGGTACTAGCGTGGGAAACAACAAATTTCAACGCCCACTTCCTATTGCAATACAATAACAAATAAACAATTGGCTTTCTAAGCTGATGATGAAACGTTGACTCATGTTCATTAAAGCTACCAAGGCAAGCACTGGTTAACTTAAGCATCTATTGTGCCTGTTACTTCTTTAATCCAAAGCAAGTTGACTTCGAATCCCAGGATAAAAACATATGAGTGAAGATGTTTAATCTATTCGACAAATCATTTATTTAATTTAAAAAAAAAGTTATTTAATTCCAAAACCACCAATTACTCAAGCAGCTCTGAAGGTATTTAGCTGTTGAATCTTATCCTGAAAGTGGAAATTAACATAGATAACTACCTGATATGCCAGTCGAGGTTTGTTGGAGAAATAAAGATATCACTTGCATGACTTTCAACAACTGACAAAAGGCATTCGATACAGACTCAGTAATCTGCATTTACGCACACACTTTAAGTTAAAATATGTCATCATTAATGGTCGCACTTCAGTTCGCACACACTGTTTACAGTATGTTAAATACGATTCTGTGAACCTAGAAATAATTACGAGAACCTGAAGGTGCCAACGTAACATCACACAGCATTTTACAGGAGCGGGTGTTGTTGGTAGGTGAAGTGAGAATAAGTAGAACTTTCATCACGCTAATCGCTTAAATCATATACTTTTGGAAGTCGAAGCAATGAGGGACAATCTCAAAAACTCACATCCAGTATGATTACTGCAAAGTTCACTAATTTGCACAAAAGTACTAGAATTGTGAATTAATCAGTGTTTATAAGGGCATGTGTTTCATTTTCTGACATCGTATATAATCCTGGTTGATTAACGTCATTCCTCATTACCACCCACATGACCTGAGCACATAGAAACTGGAAGTCACTTGGCGCCACATGCTTCTGTCCCACACTAAGTTGTTTGTTTAGCCACAGGCACGGCCCTACGATATTACACGACACACCCCACGACGATTTAGATTTTGTACACGGATATAAATGAATATCCGAACGCAGACACCCCTAGTGACTATTTTGACCTTACGACATCGGCAACTCGATGGCCGTGTACCTTTAAGATTTATTGGGCAAAAGATACATCATGACATCCAACGTGAGCAAAAGCTAAGGAAAATCAAAAACCTACACCCAGAACCTATTGTGGGTCAGACATGACGGTGGGCAAGTACAATAATAGTAACTTGAGCAGATTAGGAGGCAGAGTATTCACATTGCTGTAACCTACGTTCCACTTTGGCATTATCAAAGTACTCAAAATTAGTTTTCTTGGAGCCTTCACAGCACACGGCGTTACACACGAAAAATTTCAGCAGGACAATCAGTGATGGAGGGAATCACCATCTCCTGGGGACATAATACGGCCTGCAGCACATTACATGACAAAGAACACTTCAGAAATTCCTGAAAACTTTAATGCCATTTAGAACAAATGTCAACGTCTTTTTAACCCACCAAATAAGGAATAGCGCATAATGATCAAGAATAAACACCAAAATGACAATATACATCTAAGTTTCTTGTGGGACAGTGGAAGAAACGAGGAAATCTTCGGACAGTACAGAGGGCTTGGCTTCTTGAGTGGATGGGGAATAGAGCGTGGTAAATAAAAATGAACATTTGGGATCGAGGTAAGAAGGGTCTAAATGGAACGACGGAGAGGAACCATCTTGCCGAATGTCGACAGCAAAGTACACCAATGAGTTAGGTGAAGCTTGACTCTTAGTCCCTTTTTGACATCGTCTCCGTCTTTTCCGCCGACGCTTCCGTCTACGAACATCAAAAGAAGCACAAGGTTCAGCCTCAGAACTAGCGTCAGTCTGGAACGAAAGGCAAGACAGAAGATCAGAAGCCGGTTGTACAGAGCCCTGATCTTTCTGTTCGAGTTCCTCATCATCGACCGTACGTCCTTCTCTCACACGATCGATGAAATGCCATTCCCAAGTCCGATCCTTTCGAAGAAGTCTGTTGGCCGTTTCGTACACAATCATGTGCCGAACACTAGTTACAGGTGAGAATTTGGGAAAACTGACGCATTTTTGTCCCCGTTTTTTGGTTCTCATTGATTCAACCCCACCGTAACCCGCATCCCATCGACGATTAGCATCCGCAATTTCAGACGAAGGACTTTGAGAACTACCAACATCTCCAGATGATATAGATCCAAAAATAAAGGAGAGCGGAGAAAAAAAGTCTGAGGCGTGAAGCGAAAAATTCCGCGGCCGAAGAGAATGTGTTGTGTACGAGGCTTTCTCAAACTTTGAATACCCTTTAGTGAAAAATTCTGTTTGTCCTTTGGGAAAAATAAGCCGCGTCCACTCAGCAGGGCGCGATGCCCGAACCTGATGAAGTCCGAGATGGTAAACGGAATCATCGGCCGAAAAGAACATGTGGTGAAACAAATCAGTTGCGTGTTCACTACAAGTCCAACGTCGTCCCTTAGATGCACGGAGAGCATAACCAGTCGACGAAGTTAGAATATTGCTGAAACTATAACCAGAATAACGAAATGCATTTTGCCATTTTGTTGCGATGTTAATGGCCTTGATAAAACGAGCCAATTGATGAAAGTGATGCCTCGGCTTAAGCGATCCACATGTGAGAGTATCTGCACCGCTTGACAACTCACGGGCAGCGAGGCGATGGTAGATGAGTCTAAGTCGACAACGCCGACATTCCAGGATTCGGCAAATAAATACAAGATCATCTTCGGAAAGCAAAGCACTGGAGCCGAAGCTCCAGGGTTTGTTTAGCTCAAATGCAGCGAACGATGGGCCCTAAATACAATACAAGATTGTGTAAAATTCATGGCAGCTCACAACGAAATATTAAAGTACAAATAAAATTAGAACATCTCACTAATATTAACTTCAAAAATGAGTTATAGGTATAATAAGAGTGTTCTTGGTACACAGCTTAATACAAAAGTTATTAATACAGCTAAAACTAGGATATGGACAGTGACGGGATGTAGAAAAAGGGCACATACAAGAATTTTTGTCATTTATTTTGCAATGAAAGTCACGAGGTACAGCAACGGAGAGACGAGAAAGTCGGAGAATAATCCAATACATTTGTCCAGAACTGACGAACTTGAATATGGCAAGACATGGATAGATAAGCGCACTCAAACAAAAATAGATGAATATACAAATACAAAATGGGATTAAGTATTAGGATAAAAAAGCATTTTCCACCTCAATATAAAAATTACATGTTTTAAAATATATCTAACATTAAACAAAAGTTCCACATGGATTTCTATACCGGCAGTTGAGAGATGGTGAACCGGTAATTTATGTACATCCGAAATCGTATTTTGCAAAAAAACATAAATAATTCTTTTTACATTTTTAGTAGTAATTCATAAAACCAAGCGGTTGCGTTGACTGCTGACAAACTTCCACTTGTTCCAAAGGGACAAAGAGCATATTTCCAAATCATTGGAATATTCCGCAATTTCTTAAGTAAACTGCTGCAATACAAGCAAGCATTTGCAAACGAAAAAAAGCATCTGCCAATTAATTCATCAAAAACAAACACAAACCTACACGCAAACATTTTACAAAACAAATTTCTAAAGTCGATTCAAGACAAATAGTCACCAATGCTTTTCATTACTTACCAACACTGCTGGACGCAATTCATCTTGAACCATCACTATTCAATACC